TCGCGTACCACGTTTTTCCAGGAATAGTGGCTGTCGCTTGTCTCGAGTTTGAGATAGGTCAGTACGATAAAGTGCGAGCGAGAGATCCGAGTACGCGACAAGGATAAAGATAGTAAACCATTAAAAATTACCTTTTCCTTTAAATGATTCAAAATTATCGTTTCCTTTACACGACGATATCTCGGGAACCGGAAGTCGTATTAAGATAAATCAAAATGCGTTTCAAAGAGGAAAGTTCCGCGCTTCTAACGATCTTTCGTTGATCGACTAAAAGTTATTATCTTCGGAGTTATAGCGGTTTAAATTTTATCTTGATCTTAATAGTGATCAGGTTTAACGTAAATGATTCAAAATTATTGTTTTCTTTACTCGACGATATCTCGGGAATCGGAAGTCGTATTAAGATAAATCAAAATGCGTTTCAAAGAGGAAAGTTCCGCGCTTCTAACGATCTTTCGTTGATCGACTAAAAGTTATTATCTTCGAAGTTATAGCGGTTTAAATTTTTTCTTGATCTTAATAGTGATCAAGTTTAACGTAAGTGATTAAAAATTATCCTTTTCTTTACACGACGATATCTCGGGAACTGGAAGTGGTATCGGGATAAATGAAAAAGTGTTTTAAAGAGTAAAGTTCTGTGATCTTTCAATGGTCTTTCATTCGTTAATTGGGAATCATTATCTTGGAAGTTATAATTGGTTTAAATTTTTCTTAATTTTAACAAAGTTTAATCAAGTTTTAAGATAAATTACACGATAAATATGCTTACTTATGGAAGAATATTGCTCACAATGTTTTATTAAAGATTCTACGTTGATTTAAAAAGTCCTTTGATTAAAGTAAATTGGATCCTTATATTAATCAACTGATTTTGGTTTAATAACGTTGATTAAATAAAACAAGTTTTTATGAATTCTGTAATTTTTAGATATTTGTAGCTGAACATCCTGTATTTAAATTTTTATTTTGTATAAAATATGCAAAGCACATGTAATACGAAAAATATGTAGGTACCTATTTGCATGAAAATCTGCAGTCTAGCAATGAAATTAAGCTCTCATAAAAGAAACAAGAGCAATAATAATCCAAATGAAGAATAATAAATTAAACAATTATTAAAAAATTTAATCAACGTTATAATTATATTTAACTCTCGTTGTTAAATAATCGGATTGTATTCCGTACAATTGGAGCAACTTGATTACGAACTTTATGTGGTTTTGGATTTCCTGATGTTTTATGCTAGATTTTCCTGGATTTTGTTGTTTAATTTATAAATAAATTTTTGGAAAGAACGTTAATATATTTCCCCGTGAGAATAATTCTGAAACTCAAAAAAGCAATTAAAAGATTTTTATTTTTATTCTCTCTGCGAGACGAATAAAATAATAAAATGAATAAAAACTAAAGGATTATTAAACGCCTTGATATAAAAGTATAATACAATTTTGTGGGAAAAGAAAAACTGAAAATGCTCTATAAATAAATTGAATTAAAGTTTTTCCCCCCCCCAATAAACTATATTTATTTTACCATCAATTTGATTTCCTATAATCTCAAGATTCCCAAACAAAAACTCGAACTATCAACAGGTATGAATTAAGAATTAACAATCGAAATAAAAACCTGTTCATCGAAGTTAAAAAGATCTATTCGTTTAATATTAAATTATCATATTTTACTTGCTTGTTTCAATTGGATCCCACATACGTAACTTCGCAAATTAATTCCTTTTCCCTTTTCGAAGATAAATTACGCATCCCCGATCCGATTATTCAATAGCCATAGCAGAAAATCGAAGATAAATTTCAATCGTTAATCGTGATTGTCTTTGAGAAGATTCTTGCCGTGTCAGTGGAACTTGAGCAATTTGTCAATTTCAACATTTGTCCGCGCGTTCCAAATGCTCACTGATGTAGCCATCTCGCTCGAACGATCGCAGCAACAGCGCGCTCATACTTGTAGGGGGGGGGGGGATGCTGCACGGTGCATGATTTGCGGTGCAATCTGTCGGCATGCCGAGACGCGGCGATTAGCATGGCGAATATCACGGTAAATCGTTAAACTGTGGAATGTAACGCGTGGAAGGTAACGTCGCAACGTTCAAGGCGCTCCTTTCATTTCATTTGATCAACACGATCGAAACGTGGCTGAGGGCAAATATGGACTTTACACTTCGGTTATTCGTGCGAATAATCATCCGTAGTGAAATGTGTAGACACTGTTTTCATCTGCATTTCGTTCAAAGTAAATATCGACCGTGATCACAGCGGCGGGAATGTAGAGGCGAAGTACAGTCAATTTCCAACGAATGGACGATTCATCGTACGACTCGAAATGTAAATTCTTACAAGGCGTACCGTTATTAAATTTATCTTCAAGATTATTATTATAACCTGGACTTTTCCACTTCTCTTAGTTTCCATTCTCGCGACACTTAAAAGTTTATTTTAGCCGCGTATCAAGAGACAATCTAATACGTTCGAAAACAATTGAAGCATGACCGATCGCTCGAACCGATCGAAAAAATTGAAAAACCATGGAAACGAATTCGGCTATTGAATTCGCTTAAATATTCCAATTTTTATCGGAATTCATCGTGAATCAATGTGAAAAAGTGAACGAGCGTAAAATTTCGATCGCGCTCTCTGTAATTCAACCGAGCCACCATGTTTAATCGTGTTCTTTCATTCTCGAGGAATCAAGGCTAAATAGGGCTACTTTAGCCTAAATTCTCGTAATCAGGACGCTCGAAAATTCGGTTCGAATTCAATCGAAAGGATCGCGTTTTATCTCGCGATCGCCGCTTCAAGGCTGTGAATTAACCGTGTCAGCAATTTATATTTCGCTTCTCGACCCGCCCGCCCATCGTCGGCCACCATTAGCGATCGCGAAAACGGCGCCCCTCGCTGAAAGAGCGATTTATAGTGGCTCGATTAAAAGCGTCAGATAGCGTCGCTCACAAGTCGAACCTCTCTTTTCTTTTTTCCTTCCTTTTCTCCCGGTATTAGCGACCGATCTATTTAATCGATCGTGTCCGATGAAGGGCGCGCCCTCGACTGAATTTCTTATCGTCCGTGGATCATTTCTATCTGTATGAAGGGGGATAGAGTGGATATCCTGAAATGATAAAAGTAGGACGGGCGAAATTGGATAACAGAGACGATAAAAGAAAATGAAGGGACTAAACGAATGTTCAATGTTTGAAATCATCTTTTTCAATTTGGACGAAATTTTGCATGCGTGAAATAATATTATATTAGAAAGAAATATTTATATCTTGTATCATTTATAATGTAATAGTTGTATCATCACAAAAATGTGTGTGTACTTGATGAAAACAATTCTTCGTTGGAAAATAAGGTGCATATATATGCACTGTACGCATCCATTCTTAAAATTTTCAATCGTAAACAAATTTGTATTTTTGCGCTTCTAATTAGATTGGCCCTGGTCAATGAAATAAAATTAAAACCACACACATATATATATATGTATGTATATAAAACGTAACAATACGTTGCATTCTCGTTTCGTACGTTGGAAAAAAATGTAAATTTTATATTTAAAAACATTTAATTTCTCTCCATTTTTTTTTTTTTTAAACTATGTCACAGTAATAAACAAGTCTTTCCAAAAGCGGTGCCACGGCAACGTTACGAAAACGTTGGAAAATTGTTGCCTTAAACGACGAGCTTCCCGCATGCCATCAACGATGCGTGTTAAACGATATTTCACATTTTCTTTCCGCGCGCGTGTATTACGTCATACTCGTCCACAATAACGCAGTTATTGCGTTCTTTCTTCTTCTTTTTTTTTTTCGGCTCATTACGCTTACTCTTTCCTCATTGAAAAGCCGTTATTAAGACATTTTTTCCCGCCTCGAATACCCGGTAAATATCGGCCTGATTTACGATATTACTCTTAGGGTAAAATCGTTCCCGACATTGCCAATAAATCGCCTCCACGCTTTCGCGCATTCACCGTATCTATAAATTGCTCGTGTTTCGCCGATTTTTACCTCGGCTGTTCGCTATCTATTTCCGTTGTTAATACGATTTTTCCGCCCTCGAGCGTAGCCCCTCTTCCTTTTTTTTTTTTTTTTTTTTCAGTTGTTGTTCTCGCAGTTTTATTTCCTGCCACGCCTGATGCTCCTGATGCTCCCCTCCCCCAGTATTTTTAACGGCGTTTTCACCTATGAGGCGGGAGGTAGGGGAAGAAAAAAACTGGTTCTTGAGCACTTCGAACGTGCTGCAAGCAACGATGCACAAAGGGCGGAACAATCCGGAGTTGTTTCTGTCAGCCGTTATCGATACCGTAAATTTATATCCGCTTAATCGAATGAAAGAAGAAAGGGAGAAGAATGGAGGGAAGTCGAGAGGGAATAGAGATGGAAGAAAAAAAAAAAAGAAAAAAGAAAAAGGAAGTAAAGATTGAAAGATCGATGAGGTTTCAAAGTCTTTCGAACTCTTCTCCTTCCCTACCAGTCCTTTGACAAAATCCATTTATTTCCTCGGTTGATCTCCTTTTTAGTCGATAAAACTTCCTTCAAGTTGTCTGTTAAAACGTTTATATATTGTATGATATGCGCACGGGAGTAAGTCCTGTATAACGGTGGCGATTGTGTTCGATGAAAAACGTAAGTTAGATACGATGGAAAGTATGATAAAGAACGAATCTTTTTCGAGAAAATTGAATTTAAAAATTCGAGGATTAAACTGTTTTTAATTATTCACATTTTATTCCACGTTACTTGCTTACATTCACCCTTATCAGTTATCGATAATAATCCATTCAAATGTCCATATAATCAGAAATTAAATAAATTTCATTTGAAAAATCTTCAAACTTATTTTTCGAAAAATTCGAAGGAAATTTTATTCGATTTGTTTTTTTTTTCAATCCTCCTGATTGTATCATCAGCATGTATATACATATATATACATATACCCGATAGAACACGATTAGAATAGACTGCAAGTTTGTTCGGTTCGCGGCCGCATTGTTCCGAGTGCAGCAGGGAAATGAAGTTGGCGGACAGTTGGTACCACTGGATAAAATTTATTTTCTCGAAAGAAGCGCACCGATATCGTGGAGCCATGGCGATGTTGGGGGCGGCGGGGGGTTCGAGGGGGTAGCGATGTCGCAGAATTGGAAAGCGCGACACGCTCCAACCTCAAACTCCGCGATTCACATATAGAAATAGTTTGTAACAAGGAAAAATTTTTCAGAATCTTCTTGACGCTTTATCGACGATAAATCAAACTTTCCAAGAACTTGACGCGGACTCGTTGAAAGGAGTATATAAAACGGAGAACACGTATAACATAATACGGAAGCGCAATGTCCTCTTTGATTGTAATGCACAATTCGCAGATCATGTTGTTGGAAGTGGCTGTAAAAAATGTGAGTAATTATACATCGTCGTATTTCACTTAGATGATCATTATTTATTCCCTCGTTATTTTCTTTTATACGATTTTAATGATAAAAGTGAAGGTAGGATTTCGCAACACGATTGACAACATCGAAAATATTGAGATATTCGTCGCTTTTAACGAAGGATTGACGGAATGGAATAAATTATTGTTCCATTTTTTTTTTTTAATAATACACAAATACTTTATTAACCGTCAACAATTAGAATTATCATTGTACAATATTAATTTTTTGAACGATCAAAAGTATCGTACAAGATGCCTCTATATGTATAAAATTTTACAAAGGAAAGAATCAGAGAAATATTAATCGTAAAACAACGAAAAGAATTGTATACGAAAAAGTATAGGCGATGAAACGCAAAATTAAATAATTTCTTATTATTCTCATTAGCGAGTTATTTAATTCTTTATTTAATTATTAACAAGATAAATATCGAACCAGCAGTGCAAAATAAATAAATACATAAAATTAAATGGAATTCATTAATGATTTCACGTTGCAATTAAAAAGGTGTCGTATAAATAATTATGAGAGTGTACGAATCGTGTAAGATCGTTTTTACCAAACGGTAAGATTCTTTAAACATATATGAACGCGGTTTTCTCCTGTACCGTATCTACATACGATACGAAACTTTTAAACTTAACGCACACCCAGATAGCCACCTGTATACACGGGCCGGCAGTCACGTAAGAGCGTAAGGATACATCATATAGTATTAAAAAGTATCATCCCTCTTCGCCTCCACTTTTCCCTCTGAAAATCTGTATTTTTAAAACGTGGAATGACCAAGAGGAGCACTTTACACCAGGTAGATACCACTCGTGAAAAAAACTCCCTTTCCAAATAAATTTTCAACAAAAAACGATATTTGCTTGTAAGATACACACACACACACACATATATATATATATATACATACACGCATCCTCGGTCGACAATATAGAAAAAAAAAAAAAAATCACTCGACAATCAATCCACGTATAACCATCCTACATTTTCTATACATACATATATATCGGGATATGTGTTCGCAGCTCTACATGCCATGGACCAACGTGTTCGACGCAGCCCTCATGAAGAAAACCGTGATAATGTTTCGATTGCTGGACGAGGAATGGACAACGTTGTCCCCGAATCGATCCGACTACCATTCTTATCGTGGTTCCAATTACGAGAACGAGAAATTCTACGGAGGCAGGTCCGTCCTGTTCTCCGTCCCGGAATCCATGCTCGAGGAGAGTATGTCGGGGGTGGATCTGCAGCTCTACGTGTACAAGGGTATATCCAAGTATTTCGAGCTCGAGTCACGCCGCAATTTCGGATTCACTCTCGTAAGGATGGACGACCTGTTTAACGGGATTATCAAGGACCTCAACGAGAGGAAGGAGCTCGAGGGTTATTTTTCCAACGATTTGGAGCGGGAACCTATATCAAGGTGAATCCATTTAAATACGCGGACCTGGCGTTTATGCAAATCCGCCGGCGAAACGGATTACCCGGACGGCAAATGTTAGGGGGAGGGGGAGGGGAGAGGGGTCTAGCTAGCTAGCTAGCTAAACGTAATTTAAAAAACTGCTGTACCAGACCCGGGATCCTTGCCTCGTTTGTATCGGGAACCGTCCGTATCGGCCGAAATCTCTTTCTCTTCCGGTAGAAAAACAAAAGGAAAAAAAAAAAAGGAAAGAAGGTAGTGATCTCGTGTTTGCTTCTTGTTAATCTCGTTAAAACAGCCCTGTCTCTCCGAAACGGGTCGGAACATTTCGCTCGTTGAAATCAGACTAAATCAGATTTGGGGTGACGTTATTTCGGATAATACGTTATTCGTTTATTACAATTATCCGAAATGATCGCGCGATATAATTTGAAATAACTTGGAATATTATTTCAAATGATATTCCATTTCGTGGATATTTCGCGACTCTGATGTTTGTTCTTTTTCTTTTTTTTTTTTTTTTCTGTGATAGAATATACGGGTCTTCTTTCCGAGTTTAATATTATTCCCAACGATATAACTCAAAATATATGTTGGAAATAATAATTTATTTCAATTTATAAATAAAATTCGCCCAATTTGGGTGAGAATTTTCCGAAAAGATTGAAGCAAACGTTTTAACGAAATTTGGTACGGTGGAACTCGTTTTCAAGTATAATACACGAATTACCGAGACATAAATTAAGAGATAATTTTTCACCGAGGAACGCTTGTTAATATCTCACCTCACCCACTCGACTCAGCTCGTATAAATCCGCCTTTTCGTCTTGAATCGAAGCTTGAAAAGAAAAAAATAAATAAACGTTTAATATTACGTTATTAAATATTACGTATTAATCGTTCAGATCGACGCAAGGCAAATTCAACCTGTTCGACGAGAATCTGGACAAGACCAATGCCACGATCGAGCTCTACATACGAATCAGTTATCTTGGCAAATGCATCATAACCGAGATCCATTCACCCACGAGCATACAGAAGGCGTTCTACGCGCGCGAGGAGACGGACGAGCATTACAGGTACCAGTTCCGCGAGTTGAACACCATGGACCTCGAATCGTTCTGTTGGGGAAGCTTGACCATCATCCCCCCCCTCCACCCTGACAATTTGATCTGCCGATGCGAGCGGGTGGAGAAGCCCGTGGAGGAGGCGACGCAGACCAAGAAGAAGAAGAAACGGAAGCGCGACGAGCTCGATTTCTATCGAAAGATGGCACGCGCCCAAGAGTTGTTGGCCAAGATGAAGGAGATGAGGAAAAATCGTCCCGACTCCATAGCGCACGGGGTGCCGAAGAAGGTTTGCCCGCCGCCGGTCTGCCCGCCCGTGTGCGCGCCTGTCTGCGTTTACACTCTGCCCTCCGTTTGTCCCAGTCCCTGTCAACCGTCCACCGTTTACTGTATACCTTCCCTCCCTTGCACGCCTTCCTGCAGGTGAACCATGTACGTGTGTATACACAGAATCAGAGGAGAATTTGCATGGGATTTGCCGGAATCCCTTGGAAAAAAAAAAATGGAGGAGACGTTACGCCGCGTCCAACTTTCGCCATTGTTCCTAGCTGGAAACTTCCCCTCCTCCGAAGGTAATCACGGCGACCGTGTCCCATCGTGTTTTATGATCCATTCATCCCCCCGCGATTGGACGATTTCCCAAATTGTCGGCCGAAATTTTATGGCTTATGGCGAGGGGAGAGGAGCAGTTTGCACGAGCGCAGTTTGGATCGAGTCGCATGGCCCGTTCCAACTCCTCCTCCTCCCTTATTGCTTATTCCGTTTTGCTTTTTGGGAAAAAGAAAGAAAGGGGAAAGAATCCTCTTTGTCGCGTTTCGACGAAAATGCGGGATAAACGTCCTTTGGGACGTTGTAAATTGGAAAGCGAGTAGACACACCACACACGCCATCTTCGAAGAAATTTCACGCGAAGGGACGCGCGGTTTTTCCGCCCGTGTCTCGAGGCAACCCGGGATATCCACTTCGCGGCGGATATTCCGATATTCCATGCAATTGAAAGCCGAAGAGTTTTGCATTTTGATTACCAGCCGACCCCGCTTCTGGCCAGCCTCCTCCGAAGGAGGAGAGGATCGTCCGCGTACGTGCACGTACGTATATATATGTGTGTGTGTATATAACGTGGGGTTTTCACGCCGGGATTTCGATTTGCAGGCAGGGGAGTATTTTATCATCGGTGGCATTATGCAAAGATTCGGGATCTCGGGCGAGGGCGAAGATCTTCGATCGAAGGGAGGGTGGATACGGGAGAATGGAGTGAGCGCTTCCTTTCATCGGTCCGTAAATTTTTTGATCGAGAAACTGGCACCTCTGGTTGGAAAATTTCCCGTCGGGACTGTATACGCGAGGAAACTCTTCCTCGCCTTTATGGATCGTTTCGGATTGTCGTCCCATCAAAATTTCTGGATCATGATTGTCATTGATATTAAATTGAAATACGTGATTACTGTCTCTAAGGAATAAACGAATAAACGTGCAATTTTATATAAATTTCTTTTTTATATTTATTGCAAGAAAAAAAATTCCATTATCCGAATTAATAAGAGGGATAATTGAACATCTATCATCTATCTTAGATAAATTATTCTATGTTTTGAGAAAAGTAATACGCTTGTTTGCAACGAAATTGGGACAAATTTGGGGTGAAAAATGGTTTTTATCATAGAAATTATTCTATATTCTTTTTTTTTTGAAGGTTTCTCAATTTCGCATCTTTCCAATTTCTTAAGTAAGTTTCCGATTTTATACATGTACGAACGTGTACAATTGTACGTATGAATTTTAAATTAAATTCTATTTCCATTAATGTAAATTAAGGAAAGGCGATTGTTTGTTATATAGTTGCGAATATAGAGATACAATTGTTATTTTTATTATAGTTATTCTGACATGATTTTACTATGCTTAATATTATCCTTAACAGCTTCGATCATTTTTAAAAAGGAATATTTATTTTTTTCCGAACAATTACGAAGAGATCTTAATCATCGGTGAAAGTTTATGATATTAAATAATGATTTAGATTGCATTAGATATGTTAATTAGAAAGAGTTAAAGAGAAAGGAATGGGGAAACTTCCAAAGAAAAATTAACGGAATTTAATTTTTTTGATTGAAAATTTCAAAGTTGTTAAACGATTTTTAAAAATATTTCTACCCATTTTCAATGTTTTTATAGAAGAAAATGTAAAGTTTCGATAAAACGTATCGAAATTTCGCTTCTCACTTTCATTTTGTAATATTGCGCAGTGATGCGTATCATCGTGGTTGAAAAAAAGGATTTCTCAGATTCTTCTAAATTTATCGATAAAAAGTCCATCGGGTCTCGATCGAAGAGTTTTAAGCACAACCAAGCAAGTACAATATCTGAACTCACGTTTAAGTTAAACGCGCCTACTTTGCAATTCCAAGTACAAATTTGTATAACTTTATCGAAACACGAGATCTTTAAATGTATATTATCAACTAATCTTTACAAAGATAGTCAGATATTTTGAATTTGCAAATCCTTGCCTCATAACGTTGTATCGACTTGTAAATAAGTTTTGAAATAATATTTGAACAATTGGTGGACAAATCTTCTTAAAGATATTTTAAATTGAGGCTGGTTAGGATGTTGCCAAAATGGATAAGAACTCTAATTTTTATAATAAAAATATTCATATTTTATATTTAATTTATATTTATATTCTAAAGTAAATCTTTACCCCAATAATATTTTAATGAAATGGTGCACAAATCTTTTTAAAGCTATTTATATCGAGTATAATTTCGATTTATATCCGTTAAAATATTGTTTTATGGAAAGAGATAAAATTAATTAATCACGCATTAATAATTTTTATTCGTATCTTTTTATTTAAATTCAAATTTACGAGTTGATAATTATAAAACAATCCTTCCAAAGAAGTGCAGAAATCTTTTTTAATAATAATATCTTACGTTCATCGAAGACTTTAAATCTTTATGAAATTTGCGCGCAGGAATTAAATTAATTTAGAGAACGATCGAATCTGTATGTTCGTTGAAAAGATGCATGATGTAGCAATTTATGATCGAACTAATCTTGGAATACGATTGCACGCTACAAAAAACACGTAGCTGTGGTGAAAGTACGTATTTTCTCGTTCCCAGATTTCCGATAATACAACTGTAATCTGTAACCTGAACGTTTTCTAGAATTTTTTTGTCGCCAAACGATTATTGCGAATATTATTATTCGCTTCATGCGATTCTTAACTTGAAATTTGTAATTCGATTTTTTAACTCGAGATTCGAGAGTATCTCGAAGCTATTAGCAGAATCCTTAAGAGCATCGTTAAATATTAAAATTTCACTTCATCCGCATAATTAGAACAAATTGCAAACATGCAATTTCTCTAGAAGTTTTCTTTAGAAAACGATATTGAAATAATTGAAAGTAAAGATTTTTTTTATATAAAAAAGTCGAATTATAATATTAATTTGTCTTGTTTCAAAAGTGTGGGAGATACTTTTTTTTTTACAATTCTGCGCTCGATACTCGGTATCGATGCTCGTGGAACAAACGTTTGAAAGAAAAAGGAACACGTTTCACCGAGAACTGTTGTACATTCGGTGTTCGCCACGCTCGATATGATACGTTACTCTTGAATTCTCTCCAAGAGTGGATTCCAGTCGGATTTTCGAATTTACCCGATTCTCTCGTATATTCACCTTCGATTTATCGCGAGGTAAAGGCAGTCGATGCAAAGCGAATCGATCAACGAAAACTTGCAATTTCAATAGAAATTTCCTACTTCTCAGACAACATATTACATCGATTATTCTTTTCTCCAACGTTTTCCTCCTCCTCCTTGGAAAATAGCTATATTTTCAAAATTGAAGAAAAGAAATATATATATATATATATATATATAAAAACTCGAAATTTTTTCCAACTTCCTGATCACTCAAATTTCTCTCTTCAATTCCTTCGAATTTATAAATCTAAATTTCACCAAGACGAAAGCTAAAAATACACCTTCGTCAAATTCCAAGATGACAGACAGTATAGAAATATTTCCGGGATATAAATCTCCCGAGGCAACAAAATGCAGCCGCAAGATTAATACACTTCCCCCTACCACCGCCGTGTCTCTTGAGTTTGACTGCGACAATCTCGAGGAAATCTCGCTCGATCATAGCCGGGGAAATGCAGACAGATCCTTCCATTCGCGGCGACGTACAGATAAATAGCGGTGTATCCGAAAAGAGGGGGCGCCCCATACGAGGGGGGAGGCAATAGTTGGGATAAGCGAGGATGCGAAATGGCCTCGCCATAACGGGAAAAATACGAAACGGTGCCGTGTGTTTCCTTCTCGTACTTTTCCTCGTCTAGACGCGTGCGTATGTATACAACCGGCGATAATACACAAACCCTCTTCCCTCCCCCTGTGCACGCGCCAGCCAGCAGATACGAAAGGCAACGAGATTACACGAGATTACAGAAGGAATAGAAGAAGAAGAAGCGAGGCAAAGTTTTTTTTAAACGAATTAAGCTGCTACTATAATTATTTCAAAATCACTCGAAGCTAGTGTAATCGAGTAATCAATACAGATTGCATTCGTCTCAGAGTAAACGTGTTAAGGTTCGTTTCGATTAGCTCTCGACCGTGGAGTGGGGAGGGGGAAAGAAGAAAGAAGACAGGCCGTTTGCCTCGTTTTCCTACCCTTTTTTTCGCGACCCACCACCATCCACATCACCACTCGGTAAACTATGGATTATCGGTTGCCACTACTACTATCCCCCACCACGTGGCATTGATAGTTGAACGGGCATCTAACAATGGGCGAACACTCCGTGAGATTAGGGGGCACTTTATAAATGGCCGGCCACCAAGGGAATAGCTGTGAAACGTTATCGACAAGTTCGATGACACGCGTCTCGCCGTTAGTGCTTGTGCTCTGTGGTGTTTAACTGGCTTTCTAAGTGGCTGGTAGTCGGCCGACACGCCACGGGTGAGTAGAGAGAAGGTGTACACAGAGAAGGCTGGAAGGCTGTGGCAGGGTCCTCGATGGGTTAGCCGGGTTCCTCGGTGTTCGCGGTGACATCGGCGCAGACAAGATGTATCGATTACTGATACTTAAGCACCGTGTGCGATGAGTTGGACGGCTAGCAGGCCAGGTTTTCTCGGGGTAAACGGAGCAAACGTTCGATTTGGTAATTGGCCGCCACGATTGACGCGCAATTAGAGTAGCGGGTGAAAAAAGAAAGGAAAAGGAAGGTATCGAGAGTATATCTTGTTTCGAAAATTTTTTCAACCGTAGTAAAACAAGTTGTGAATACCATGGGATTGTTGAAAACACTTGGCTTCTGAGCCAAGTTTCGAAAATGATTATGATTACTTTACGTTTAATCCTGTTTATGATCTGAAAAAGATCGATGATTAAATAGTTGTGAGGTAAGAAATTATTGGAATATGGGATATTGTGTCGCACACGATGCGAAACAACTCTTTGATAATTAGTCGATGATTAAGAAGAGAATATATTTATTTCGTATATTTTTATTCTCCTTAATTTTATCGTGTTAAAATAATCTATAAACACGGATTCATTATTTACATATTATCTCGATACTTGAACAGTAATTGCAATTCTTGAAATTTCGAATATATTTTCTTCTAACATGTTGTCAATAATTCTTACGGAATATATCTATATGGAAACTATTGTTTAATCACGTAGTGTAATCGCTACGTGTAATCGTTTT